TGAAAAACTAAGTGGTACAAAATGTTTCAAATAATCCCCTGACATGTTTCTGATAGAAAAAATGCAATTCCATTGGGTGCGGGAAACCTACCTTATCCGCCCTCCTCCTTTAATAGAAAAATAGAATACCTGTCCGCCGCTTTAAAGCTTTCTTCGTAGGTTAAACAATGATGAAAGTATCCACTGGTAAGTTCAGTAACACAAGAGTGAAGGAAGTCGCGGCAATATCGTTCAGCGTCATTTAGATTAAAACGAACATTTTCTCTCCGAACATATTGTTTCATTCCTGCCGAAAGGCAATAGGGTTGAGAACAGCATGCTTTAGGGTGGTCCGCAGGAATCCGCATCCTGTCCGGAAGGGTAGAGAGAGACCAAGTAAAAGTTATAGGGCTTTGTAGAGTAGAGGTCAGTTGTTCGAAACCCAAAGAGAACAACCATTTGCAACTACTGCAGTTTTAAAGCAATTTCTTTTTTTAGTTTTAAAATAAATTTGAATGTTATCGGACAAATTAGAGCGCTTTGAAGATTCTTTGAGTTTAGATATCCTACTACATGACGATGTGATGATGTCGTCGCCACTCCTGAAAGAAACATTTTGATAAAAATATGAAAAGTAAGCTCTGAAACTCTTAAACATACTTTATTTCATGTTACTGAGCTGTGCACTTGAATTCATGACGTTTTTGAAAATTAAAAAGCCATAACAAAAAAGTATAACCGCAATTATCTTATCTAATCTAAACATTGTCGTTTGTCCAACGGATGTCCAGAGCATGTCAAATAAAATCCGAGAAGAATCTTGAAAGCAACTTATGTAAAACAGATAAAAGTAGTAACACATTTCTATCAGCTTCTTATCAGATCCGTGTAGGTATAAGATGTCGCATGGCAATGGTCAGAATTTTGTAAGCTTTTACAAGAATTTGATATGAATGTCGTGAGATTTCGGTAAGAAAGTGATAACAATGACTAGGATACTACCATTTTTGTGCAACATCTTATATAAGAAAATAGTAACAAATTCACAAGAATACAGCTTAAATTGTTGAAGATTTTCTGTTAAATGGATTGACAGAACTGCACTTGTGCTCTTTTGCTCTCTAAGGTGCTTCACTAATATTGAACGGTAAGGAGTGCGATGGACAAGGTGGAGGTACATTTAACGATTCAAGATTTATCGATCTTCACGGCAAATTGTATCGACCGGTAAAAATCATAACTCGTTGGCATCAGTGGTTTCCGCAGATTTTAGTTTTAGGTTATCACAGGGTATCCAAGGATGCCATAAGTCTTTTGTTCTTTTTTGTGATATCCTACCCTTGAGTAAAAATAAATCTTATCTTATCTATCGTATCTATCGTGAAGCTCACATTTTATCTGCTTTGAGTAGTTTTTGGTACACGCACATGCACCGTATTGCAATGAAACTCTGTTTTTAGCAACATGTTCTCTTTTCCCCTTTTTGTCTTCAGTAAGAGTTCACACAAAAAACGTGTATTAGGTCGTTTCGAAATCCTTTGTCTTGGAAAAAGCATATGACATTATCATCAAGATAATGACTCAATGGAGTATTTTTTCATTGTTGTTGCAAATTGTCAGTTATTACCGGTCACGAGTTTTGCAGAACTGACCCCGCTTAATTTTCATTCAATCAAGTTAAAATTTTACGAGCGTTAGGTACTCAATGTAATATTGTCGAGGCAGTTTTTGAGAATTCGATTTTAGACCTATCCTTGTCGAATTAAAGGGAAAATACTAAAAAGCATTTCACAAACCAAGGTTTTCAATCTTTTTATTAACCCTATAACTCGACAAGGATAGATCTAAAATCGAATTCTCAAAAACTAAGTAAAAGTAAAATTGCTATAGAAGCTTTATATACAGTCATTTGAACATTTATTTATTCCGGTGATAGCTGATATATTCATGGCTCACTTAGAAACAATATTAATGGACAAAGTGAAACACTGTGGAGTCATCGAATGGTTGAGATATGTGGATGATACGTTCGTCTTAGTAAAACCATCTACTCACATTAGTCATATTATTCGATACAGCAACACTACCGCGAATACAAAAAACAACATTACCGTGACGACTTGTTTATTGGAAAAGCCGAATAAACGAGGCCGGTTTTGTATTTTGTATATCAAAGAGGCTAGCAAATAGTAACTCCTTAGGTGTTTGATAAATCTCACGTACTGTCAACTGCGCTTTAGTGATTGCTTATGATGCTTTCTGTGTCTGACTACTGATTAACAATTCTACTTCGCCCGGTCAGGTAAGGTTGGGTTCAGTCATCATGTGTAGTAGTGTGTCCCTACTATTCAACAGGTCTGCATGTCTGGGTTGAGTTGTCATGTGTGTCTCGCTGACCATACCCTCACCCAACTCAGAGATTTAGTGATATATGTTAACTACAGACATGACAACCCAACCCAGACATACAGAACTGATGATCACTAGTGAGACACACATGGTAACCCAACCCAACCCAGAGATTTAGTGATATATATTAACTACAGACATGATAACCCAACATTACCCAACCCAAGGTATAGAACTAATGATCAGTAATAAGTTACAGCCAAAGAGACATGACGATCCAACCTTACCCGCTACACGAACAACGACATACTAGGAACTGATCTGCGCCTTGCTGTTGTCAAAATTCTTTAGGAACTACTATTTGCCTTCCTATAGTACATCATGTTTTCAAACTTAACTAAAGTTATGTAGTGACTAGTCATTATCTGATACAGTCACACATATCTAGTTTCGCATCATGAAAATATGTTTTGTGTGAAACTACTTTTCGAACTCACTCTCACAATGAAATGGAAAATGACAACACATTACCATTTTTAGATGTAAACGTTATACGGTCATTGAAGGATAATCATTTTCATATTACAATCTATCGAAAGCCCACCTATACGGGTCCTCATTTGTACCCTTACAATATAAGACGGCAGCATTAGTCAGTATAATACAAAGAGCATTGTCAGTATGCACAGATTATGCTCTTCTCAATGAAGAGTTTAATCAAATTCGCCAAATAGCTAGACAAAATGAGTATCCGAGAGCGTTTGTTGATACAACAATAGGAATTGGTCTAAATAAATAATATCAAAGACAAAACGAAGATTTAAAAGTAGATGCATCTGTAAGCGGTTGTGAAAAGAAACGTATGTATATGGAGTTACCCTACGTTGGAAATTCCACAAAAGTATTCTATAAGAAAATAAACTATTTCGCCGATAAAATTCGTCCCGATATTGAAGTACGGTTTATATTAAGTCCTCCAGCTCCGTCTCAAACTTTTTTTCAAACAGAAGATTCTATACCAAAACATTTACAATCAGAAATTGTTTACTCTGCTAAATGTGAGAACTGTAACCATAATTATGTTGGAAAAACTGAACGTCAGAGTGTCAGAAGATTATGCGAACATGGAGCTTCGAAAGAAGAGTTTGATAAGTTTGACGTATATCCACTAGATACTGGGATAGAAGAAGACAATTCAGAATCACGAGATAGAATCCATCACAGTCTTTCTAAACGACGCACAAAAAGCCTTCAGACTCAACCGTCGACACCTGGAGTTACACGATCTTCTAGACTTCTAGCTAAAACACACACTGTTGATAATCCAGTGAGTAAGGCTGAATGCACGGACGAAGGTGAAAAAGATACCATAAAAAAATCGGCTTTAGCCAAGCATGAATCTGAAACTGGACATAAGATTGATTGGATGAATTTCAAAATACTATGGAGTGATAAAAATCCATATAGATTGCTCATAAAAGAATCATTAGTAATTAAAGCTTATGAACTGCATATTCTGTGAATTTGACAACACATTCAGTACCAATGATTGTGTATCTGAAAGACTTGCCGAAAAATCTAGTACCTGATCCTAATGCCTAAGTTATATAACATCTATGCAGTAAATACAAATATATGCAATGCATCCATGACATTCACTTACTTCGCTTAGATTCATTATTTTCTTATACGATGATAAATAGAAAGAAGATGCATTTTCTTTTTCGAAAAAGAAAAGTATGTCGTATTCTCTCCTTCTTTCTTCTTCTTTCCATTTCATCTCTGTTTTCATGTATATATAGGAACGAAAAATCATTTTGTGGTGGGTTCATAATATTCTATTTGTACACTTCTTGGAAATGAAAATATAAATTTTCGAAACGTCGGAATAAATAAACATTCAAACGACTTTATATAAAGTTGCTGTAAAAATCTTACTTTTACTTCGTTTATTACCCATCAATAACTCACATGTTTCTCAAAAACTACCTCGACAATATTACCTTAAGTACTGCTGATAAAATTTTTAACTCGATTGAATGAAATTTGACAGGGAGTCGTAATGTGACACCATGACAAATCGAGTTTTCTGGAAAAGTCGTGAACAGTAATAGCTGACAACTTGTAACAAAGATGAAAAAATACTCCGTTGAGTTTCTAGTCAGTTCTGGAGTTATGAAACCGTAGTCATTTTTAGTTTATCTCAGCAACGCAACAACTTTTTCAGATTTTCGCCAAAATTCGTGAAAATGTTTGCTCTGAAGAAGCCATCCGCTTTAGAAGAAACCTGAGATGGTCGATTGAACAGATTATGTCGTGTCTTATCCTTGATGGCTCTTAAATTAATTTTCACTGTTTTTAGTTTTCTCTTGGACAGCCAACATTATCCTACGATTCCACATGGTTGATAATCTGTGTTTCAAGTATTGAAGTTAACAGACGTGATAATAATAAATAATGGACGTTTCAAGAGAATCGTAAGATATACAGAGATCGAACAGAATATTTATAATAAACTCTTATAACGGATATCAAGAGATTTCTTCCCATTTCAACAAACAGCGGGAAAAACTTACAAAATCTCCTCAAAATTCTCTATCATTAGCACTAGAATGAAATTTTGTGCTCAAGTTTGATGTAGAAAAGGTCGTAACCTATGAAGCGCATACTAAATAACATTTATAATAAATGTATTGAGTGCAGTTCACCAGCTGAAACGTGAACGTCGTTCGAAAATTATTTCTCAGTATGATGTTATGCAGAGACAAATCGACAACTGATGCTGACAATTAGGTATATCTTTGAAAATTTTATTCTAATACTAACAGAACTTCGAGATCTGAAAATAATTAAACAATGATCTATCCTCTGAAATTGAACGACAACTCGCGCTGTTGTTAGAAAAACCATAACATGCAGAAGAAATAAACCTTCTTTTTATTTATCTAACCTATATCTAGAGTACTTTATTGTTAGAGACGCAAATGTATGTGTTTTTCAAATTGCTAATTGATAGATCAAAACGATCAGTTTGATATAATACGACCACTGCAATGTGGAAAGACTTGGAGAAACAGCGTTTTTGGAACTTCACCATCCAGATCATTTAACGATATCAGCTTGCTGCGATCGCATTTTTTGTTATTTATAAAATACAAAATATTTTTCGAAGCCTTATGAAATATACCCTCTGATCACTGACAAAAGAACAGAAAGAGTGTGTATAGTGATACTATACTAGGAAAAACAATAAAAACGAGCTGATAAGAGTATTGTAAAGAAAGTTGACCTTTATCAGGTTTATTTTCTAACACAACTGTCTATGTGTGATGTACAAATGTAAAAGTGAGTAAAAGGGGTAAACCATATCGAGAGACCAGAGTTCATGGAGATTGCACATCAAGAGAAAGATAAATAGCGAGTGTGTGCTCATGATGGTGAACGACAATGACAGAATATGGCTATCCTTTAATAGTATAATTTACTTTTATGTTACTTAAATACTTCAGTACAAAATTTCTGATAATAATATACGTTGTTATTGTTTTGATACAGTGGCCTTAGAAACACATCCACCTGTCTTTCAACATCGCGAGTAATACTTTTCTATCAGAAATTCTTTTTTCGTGACAAAAATACATTAAAGAAAAGGTTGCTTCATACCTAACCTGACAAACTGTACGATTTATGAAAATCGTAAAATTATTCAACGTACGGCATATATCGCGTATTTTGAGGTTGCTTCAGCAGACGAGCGTTTCTTGTTTTTCGCCTAAACATTTCTTTACGAGTTGTTCGTTGTAATGATGCGCCTCATCAAGTTATGGTACAACATCCTCATATTTTAGAAAATAAATACAGAAATTCTAGAACATTATTTTGCTGTGTTACAGTTCCATAAGAGCACTCGGTAAAGAAAATTTGGTTGTAGTCTATAACACTCTTCTCTCACTTTATCGCTGATCAATTCTAATGTTCTACGTTGTGTGAGTGCGTGTATAAAACGTATTGACACACTAAGATAATTCATACCTCTCTGTACCTCTTATCCTTCTCCCTTTTTATGAATGTTTTTTGTATATTTTTGTTTAATAATACTGTCATGTACTTATCATTACATCACTTATTTACTTTTCTTTTTATTACGTGAGAATACGGCATATAATGGGCCTGCTCGATTTGTTGTATATACTAATAGTTGTTTTCTGTTCATTTCTACTTTACAGATAAACTGATTCGTTTTATTAGTTGACGATTGTAGTTCATTCCAGAAAACCATTTCAGTGATTTTGATGAAGGTTTGTCCGTTTTATGCTCAACTAATAGACTCTGTTTTAGAGTTTTACATCTGAATTGTAAAGCATAATCGCATCAGTCGTATTTTCAGGAGTATTTATCTCGATCAGACGCAAACCTTCGAAGTGACAAATGAATAGAGGTTACTTGACACAATCACATCTATTTCGAGTATAAGTTCGATCTAATAACCAATGATAGACTCAAAAAAATACATAAATGTTAGGCTTTTATTATTGAATTATTCATAAATTATTAAATGTTTTATTGTTTTTCATTTTAGACCATTACACTATCAAAAATATTTGCATTTTCTCTGATGCTTTTGTAATCGAATGCTTGTAACGGATTTAAAATCAGAAACGAAAATAGAAATACAATATATTACAGCTCATGGTCATATAAAAAGGCCTAAGAACGAAATGCATCTGTAAAACAATTGTTCTATTCTCACCGTGAAAAAAGAATTAAAAGTACATACATTTTTTAATACTGTGAGGGAGCAAGAAGCGGAAAAAAGAAATGGTGTTATATCTGTAATTACATGGAATGCTGCTGTTTATTAAACCTTATGCATTGTTATTTATTATCATTGTTTTGATAATATCTTTAATTGCCGTTTCAATTGTGTGCATATTGCTCTATGCATATCGTACACGTGAGTCTGAACGATTCAGTGGTAAAAAACTATTAGATTCTTCTAATGATTCAGAAGTACCTGACACAACGACTGGGATAGGTCATTCAATACCATTGAAAAAACTTCAACTCTCTTCTATACCCTCTACACCGGAGAAGCCTCCAAAAATTATTTGTGAAACAGCTCCACATTTTTCATTTCATGAGTATTCAGTTGATACACCAACAAATTATCAAACATTTGATTTTGCAAAACGTTATCAAAGCCATGTATCCTCAGATTCATCATATACAAGTTCAACAAAACGTTATGGACAAATTTCGTTTGATTCGGTAAAATCGAAATTTCAGCAGAAAAAAGCTCATCAACGTCTTTCAGTTATATCGTTATTCAATCAACAACAAAAATCAAAAGAACAAGGAAAATCACCCGTTGATAGTGAAAATGAGCATAACCCTCGAGCACCAACATTATCAACGATTACTAGTGAACAGCATAATTCAATAAATGATAGTAGTTCAACAGAACATTTACATATTAGTAATTATCAACCACCTGATGATCGATCAGATTCGGATATTGATCAAACGCCCACTCGTCTATCACCAAAATTAAATATTAACCAATTAAATGTATCAAGTTATGCTGAGTATACATTATCCGAACTTTTTCGTATTGAATTAAGATATTTTCTTTATTATGATTTAACTCAAAACGAACTCCGTTTTCAATTGGTTCAACTTCAACATTTACATTCGATTGAAAAATGTTTTCGTACATTTATTTGTAAAATTCGTCTTCACATTGGACAGAAACACAGTCGACGAGGACGACGATATTTTTCCAAAATGATCACAAAAGATGTGAATAGTAATCAATATCAATCAAATGAACTATTTAGATTTCAATTAGATCAACATTTAGTAGATGAAGCCTATTTGAAAGTAAGCATATTGGGTTATCAAAAAAATGAACGTATCGAATTAGGACAAACATTATTAATTTTAAATGAACATGAAAAATCAGTGGATGATGGTAATTTAGAAGAATATAGAAAATTTGTTCAAATATACGAAGATAAAATCGATTTAATTACACAACTGGTGAGTGAAAATTAAGAATAAACCTATATTTTAATGAGAAGACAGTGTAAAGGTCCTTCTTTTAGAAGTAGTACAGTCCAATTTTGACTATACAGCACAGCACAGGAGAAAAAATAGTTTTTAAAGAAGCTCTAAATCAGTCGTATAGCGCCATAGCTAAATATGTCTTTTTTTACATCAATCTGAACTAACAAAATTTGCCCTATTTACATGATAATCGATGTTTGAGTAAGAACGTACTTTTAAGAGCATTTTCACTTGTATACTTTTTATAGTTTTTGAGAAATCGTCCCTGTTACTCGGGGTGTTTAGTTTTCGGGAGTTCTTACAAACTCCGAAGCTAAAGGTGAATCTTAATTCACAATCCGTATTATTTTCATCAATTAGAGTTTTGTTCAATTAAATTATTTAAAGAATCTCCTAATATCTTAAAATCCTGTTTTAGTCACACATCGTTTTGAAAATACCCATTCTACCTACTTTTAATTCATTAATTTATCAGAAGCCCATGAAATTATTTATTTCGTTTCTTTTAGACTGAACTTGAGAATGAAGCTCGTGCACTAATATGTTTAGTATACGAAAATGAACGAGGTCTATTACATGTCGGAATCATTAAAGCAACTGGTATACCGTCACTATTAAAACATCAACATGGTAAATCTCTTTTATAATTTCTGTAGACTATAAAACATACCTATAAACGATGTTTATCTATTGTTTTAGGTTTAGTTCATATTAAAGTTTGTACGGTGTGTGATAATAAAGTAATGTGTAAAAAGAAATCAAAGCCTATTCCAAAAATTCACAATGATACAGTGTTTACATTTAGCACATCATTTGATCTAGATTATTTATCACTACATAAAACGTGTGTTCGAATATCGATTTGTTTGAAACCAACACCATTAACAACGTCAAAATTAGTTGGAAAAATTGAATTTGGTTCGAACTGTTTGAAAAATGTTGTTGGTTTTCAACATTGGACCGACACACTATCCGCACCAAATAAACCTCATATCGGATGGCATACATTCGAGAAGATGAATCAACAAAAATAAAAACCTTTTAATACTATTAGTAGTGGGGCGAGAGCATGTAGTATTATACGTATTTTTATGATTAATAAAACGTTTATATTTGAGTACTAGTTTCAGTACGACAGAAGGTGCTTCTCTGCAACATTAAATTAGGTACAGCAGGACGCTCATTATAGTAGGTGTGAGAATGAAAGCTGAATATGTCTATGAAAATACTAAATTCAGAACTCAGCTTAATGGTCTGATATTGGTTGAAATAGTTATAGACTCTTTAGTGTCCAGAACCTTTCCACATCATTTGGTTCAGGCAACAATTTATGAGTAATGGTTAGTAATCAAATCAATAGAAAAATTCTGCGCTTCTTTGCAGACACCCTTACCGGTGTAGGATTTTAAAAAGTGTCAATCGCTACACGGTTTTATTCCAGGAGACACGTTTTCACAACGATCACACATATCATTCGCACCAACCATAGTTCTAACCTGGGGATTAGTCTGACGAACGACAATTTAGATTCACTTCTTAAACTTTACGCAATTGGCATACACATACTATATACGTATTAGTTGATTCCGGATGCCACACGGTTAACCTTTAAACATGAACTTTTATTCATGCTTATCGAATCTTCTGCCTGAAATCTTAGTTATTAGCTTTGGGCATTTATTAAGGCACTAAAACCAATACAACAAAATATACAACACGAGAAACTATGATGTTTAAGAGCCATCTCGTATAAGCGACGACAGAGACTGCTCAAACGTATCACTCTTTCGAACGTACAGAACTCTTTCGAACGAGGTATAAAAGAACATATAGACATTTTTGAGTAAAATGGCGTTTTCCGTTTGAAAAAATATTGCTTGGTTGCTG